TCATTAGAAAATTACTCCAAAACCAAACTGATCACAAAACTAAAACTTACATGATTATCAAGTTTAAGTTGACAAAGCCAGTAAATTAAACCGCCCGTGCGAATTTGGAATAGCTGACGTTTCGAGTATCAGGCCTAACCATGACTTGAAAGAGTGATAAACCACCCATAATCACAGCCAGATGTGTACCGTGATTACAATTGCGCTTCCATGTAACTGATTGCCAGGACATTTTCTTAGTAAGTAAGTTAGTTGTATTGTAGCATGTCGCACTTGATTCGTACACGGGTCGTAAACAAATCAAGAGATCTTGGCAGACGTAAACACTCAACTCCTTTCTAAATTAATTAGTGTTAAATCTAAATCAATTAGTGTGAAAGCGCTCCATAATCTCATTATAAAGTCAAGTTCATATTCCTTGCTGGTTTGTATCAACAGAGTACTTTAAAACTAACATTAGTTCTAAAACGTCTAGGTTCTCTATTGAGAACAACCAGGTTTCAAAATCAAATCTCTCCCTCCTTTATAATAAAAATACATGTTTCCGCTTCAACTTGAATTCATGGCGTCCACGAAATACACCCTTTGGTACACACCCAGAGCTACACTTTAGCGAGAACTCTAATAACCGGCGTGCATTGAGAATGACCCTCACGAAAACCAATTTATTGACGCCAGGCTCTAACAATACAAGACCTACTGGTGCGTTCCAGCCGCACCGTGATTAGGTTGATTTACTAAGACCCAGTTTCCTCGGACTCGGGATGGAAGAGCTGGATGTGATCTGGGTTCCAGTAAAGCGTTGATGATTTGTAAACTAGTGACCAAACATACGGAATAAAAAACTCCTCCGGCTGTTCCTCCTCCACGTATTTGAATTTTAATTCAGGAAATTTCTGTAGAGAAAAAAAAAAGCAACGTCCCAATAAAATAACAGAGTAAACCTGGTTTTAAGGGAACTGCACTCCTTGCAAAATGTGGGGGCCCTGGGGCATAGCCTACATTTTGCATGGAGTACGCACGAAGGAGAAAGTGAATTGACCGTCGAAGGCGCGAACCGTAGGCGGGGTTTGAAGAGATTACCCCCCCCCCCNTGAAAGAAAATGCCAAGTCTCAGTAACCTCGAGTGGGCGGAAATTTTCAAGGCAGAAAACATCTATGTAACAATAATAAAAGGAAAATAAAAAAGGGCGATAAACATTGGGGAGTATTAACACGGATAACGAAAAAACAAACTTTAAAAATTAGAAATTGTTTCATCTGGATGCGTTCTGCGTGAAGAGCTGTTGTGAAGTGAATGTCTTTACAAATTGCCGGTACTTAATTTCGAGATTTACTTGTTTCAGAATTACATTGCAGTTCAAGGCTTTCATCAGTTGACTTGGAGCGTCACGTTCGTTGACTGATGTGATACTTACATGGTCGCTGTTTTGCGCTCCTTCGCCATTCTCTTGTGAATTACTTTCAGCTTGTTTTATAAGTTCCGTCACTTTGGCATGCTTCTTTGAAAGTAGTGCATACAAACTAAAAAGAAAAAAGAAAAACAATTAGCTAGGAAACGAAAAAGACGAAAAAGTGTAAGCTCTTGTGTAAAAAATGGTCTGACAAGCTCTGTCTGTAAGGATATCAACTGCACTCTATTGGTTTAGTAAAGAGAGGGCAAGGATTTGTAATGTAATTAGAAAAACTGTAACTTCTATGTTGAAGCAAAATCCTCATTACTTCCTCTTACAAACGTGACCAGCGCAGTTTTCATGGTTGGTAACTTACTTCTAGGCCTGTAGCATAAACCAACTGAGCCTAATTCTCTCTGCTTGTGATCGTAGTCTATCCTCATTTGCCAGTTTGCCGGAATAATTTATCAGTGCATTGCTAAGCCTCCTATGTACCACGAGAAGACAAACAGTGTTCCAGATAAGTGAGGGTCTCGGGTCAAAAACCCGACAAGGTCAGCTACATGACCCGACAAATTGATAGAAAATTTCTAATGATTTGGTGGGAGCAGCAGGAATTGACCTGTTGTAATTCCTTATTGACACCCTGCACTAAAAAATTATCTGGAACCCTGAGACAAACACAAGGGAACAAGACCAAAGCAAGCGAAGACTCTACGACCATATTACAACATAACAAGACATAACTCCTTTCCCTTTTTATTATCGTTCTGACGCCAAAATCAACAAGACAGACTCCAGACTCAAAAAGACCACAACAAGCTTGACTTGAAATCGAATTCTCTCAAGCTGAATTATAGGGAACGTATGACAAGGACTAAGGAGAGTTGTGAAGCTGATCTCATAATTAAAAGCAAAGGTACGTTACCTAACTATTCTCTGTGTTACATAAGGATGAAGTGCGTGGAATTGTGAAGACATGTTAGCCAGGGTCGCCAGGCAGTTTGTATGCAGGTATTTGTCCTGAAAAAGAAATCAAAGATGGCATTCGAGCGCGTTATAGACAAGTGGCTACTTGTTTTGGTCAAAATTCGAGGATTTACATTTGAGCACCAAACATCGTCGGCCAGAATGTTGCTAGGCAACGAAATAACGAGAGGAGAACGTAACCAAACCAAGGGTAAACTTCTAAGCCTTCCTTTCAACAACGTGAAATGACGGAATGAAGTCTGCATTTTATGGAGAACGTGAACTACGACGGTCAACAATCAATATTATTATTATTTGGAACTGAATTCTGTCTCAACATATCGAGCTTACGATAGTTCTAACACCGACAGTTACACTGAATAGATATAGAGATATGTGGAAGTATAAATTCTTCTTCTTCTTCTTCTTCTTCTTCGTCTTCTTCTTCGTTTTTTTTTTTTTTTTTTTTTTTTTTTTTTTTTTTTTNCGTTGCCATTGTCTAATACAAGTACAACTGGTTTTCTTTTTTCATAGAAGCAGTAGAGAAACGAACGTTTTTTGTTTTTTTTTGCCGTGGTTGCAAACGAATTCTTACGTCTCTCTGTACTCACCCTCATCTTTGTCATATTATACTGTATTGTTCTGAGCACAACTAACACCAGTAGACCCCCCAGGGTAATATTTGTAATGACTCGTTCCGTATACCACGGGATAGATGGTATTACCTGAAGAGTAAATAAAACAATTCGTTAAAAGACCTGGAGAAGAGATATTTAACAAAGTCAGTCCCCAAATTCAGTTGATTCTTTAAGTTACATTTCAAATACACCCTCTTTCTCTGATGTATTTTTATATTACCCACATATCATACAATTTGGCTAAGGATTGTCTCTGTGCCATTCAAGTTCATTTCCTTTATCAAGAAAAATTAGTAATAATAATTGTACCGAGTGGAGTACAATTCAGGGAGTAATCGCGCAAGTAATTTCGAAATCGAACGAGCGCAAAGCGCGAAGCCGATTTGAAATTAGGAGCACGACTACTCCTGAATTGTACGACATGAGGTCCAATTACTAATTAATCGTATGACTATCTATAACAAATTTCGGAATTAAGAATGTCTTTTGAGGACTTCTTTTGAGCGAAAACGTCTGTAACGCTTTTCATAAGTTTTGAAAACGGTGCGAAAAAAGCCATTAGAGCACGCGTAATTGACGTGCGAATCACGTGGGTATCCCATTACAGGTGTCCAATTACGAAAAGTTCAAATTGGATACCTGTAACTGGACACCCACGTGATCACGCGCCGATTTACGTGGTGAACAGGCGCGCGGAGAACCAATCACGTTCGAGAATTTTGTTATAGATACGATTAAACATGGACATGTACTTTCATATTTCCGCTAAGTTTCTTGTAGGTCATTTTAAGTGAATCATATTTCATAGCTACATAGACCCTTTTCATAAACGGCTGCCAATTTGAAATTCTTTTGTATGTATTTAAATTAGCCTCACTAAACTCGTTTGGGAGTAAAAATTCTTTTGAACTATCCACTCAAAAACGAGGTTAGTCAGGCTAATTTTAATACTTACAAAAGAATTTATAATTGGAAGCCATTTATGAAAAGGGTCTATGTAGAAAGATCATGAGGAATGTGGTTATCATGTTAAGTTTGAGAGGAGTTTACAGTTCAAAATCTGCTTCAAATGATGCAATCAAACGTTATACATTCAAACGTTTGTATGGCCATTTTCGAGAGGACTCTGCCTCAAGACGAGGCTTGCCAAGTGCTAAACTAAGAAAATAAGAACGTCAGATTGATTTGTATGGACATATAAACTCATTTTCTTAAAGTAAGAAGAACAAAGCTAACGAGAGAGAATCTCACCAGTTCATGCACAGACTTGTTGAAGTTTTCATCCTGACTCAATATTAACAGGATAATAAGTGACATGTAAATGTGGTGAGCATTGTGATCATCTGCACTGTAGAGAAGTTTAAGGATTGGCATCACCTGGCAACAAACAAACAACAAATAGCATTTGTGATGCTAATTATCTAATTACAAATAATGCTGAGGAGTTACTACAACAAACATTTCTGTGTTGTAGCAAGTTTACATTCCAAGGAATTTGACCAAACAAGCGTTCAGCATTTTGACCACAAATTAAAAGGAAATACTGCTTTAAAAAGGGTTTAATTTACACGTAGATGTATTGCATTACACTTTAGAGTGTACAGAAGTTAGGTTTTAAACTGTCTTAGTTTCAAAAACATCAGCACTTGTAGCACTTACCAAGTTATCTATATCTGTCCTTGAAAGGATAAAGGATGCCACATTGGGATTGCGATGCAGTAATAAATACAACAGAAGTGTTGTCTGATCTTTGTGCAAGTCTCTGTAAACAAAATGCATTAAACAGTTGTTAATTTAGAACTACATTCTTTTAACCTTCCAGTAGAAACTTCAAGCAGTCAAGAGGAGGGAAGATCAACACGTTACCAACCTGCAGACAGCAGTGAACAACATTCCTATGTGAAGTGTAAAAGACGGCTCCCCTTCTTGTTCTGAATTATCACCTTCTGTTGTATTTTCTGATGAAAAATACCTATATATTAATTTTTTTACCCAATACTGTATAATAATGACTTTATTTATGTATCAGGGGTCATAGCCAAGGGCAGATTCTTTTATTCATTGATTCTGTAGTATCATAACAGATCCCAAATCCTTGTAGAGTTAATTGCTTAACTTTAAGATACTGACTGCGGGTTTTAACAAAGTTAAGTTTCCAAGCAATTATTATTATAACTGAAAAATAGAGCTAAGAAAATTAGTAAAGGTAATCATATGAATGCAAGTGCAATGAAGGATTTACACTACGAGTGATATTTGAAACTTCTCTCAAATTATTGCAATACTTTGGAAAAGTATTATTAAAAAAGTATTATTACAATAAAAGTTAAACTTTATTTAAAAATAAAGTTTAATTGTCCAATTAAAAAAAACCATACCTTTGAGTTTCCTGTTAGTGAAGGAAAACAATGCATGTCTGTAAGGGTTGAGTTTTCTCTTGTCCTGTGTACAATGGTTTACAAGTACAAGCAACAGTAGTAAGCTCTGATTTGCCAGCAAAGATGAATCATCGTCATCTGCATTTTGAGAACCAAACCAAGACCAAACACCAGCTGAAGTAAAAATATGGAAAGAAAATGTAGCATAAAACTTTGCAATTTTATTTCTTCAACAACATTCACCAGATGTTAGTGTTCTATTACTTTCCAAATGAATTCATGATTGTACTTAAAATTGCAAGAAACCAGGAAAACTACAGAAACAATAAGTTTGATAAATTCTAAGATTTGCGGAAGATGCTTGACTAATAATAATAATGATAATGATAATAATAATAATAATAATAATAATAATAATAAAAACAATCTTTAAAGAGGACGCGCCCGTCACGTAAATACGTGGTTTTCAGGAAGGTCCTCTATAAAAATAAAAAGTATTAAAATCTAAAATAAGAAATACAAATATCACAGATCTAAAATATAAAATATACAATAATTAAAACTACTAAAACTACCACAACTACCTACTGTCCTAAAAAACAAATAATTATCTATTAACAATACGTCGTACATCTAAAAATATTTTTTTAAAAATGTTTATTCATTAAGAACCTTAGAAGGTTTTTCTTAAAAATTGTGCATGGCATTGGCTTTCTTAAAAATACTGGGAGAGACATCCAGTAATAGGGGGAAAAAAAGGAATAACAATATGTGACACATATGTTGCAAAAATATTAGTCATACAGATAATTTTGACAGCCTATGCTTTGCTGAAGACATTTTTATAGAACAATGTTGCAAAGATCTTTACTTTCCACAGTTTTGGTTGCACTGCAAACTGTGCCTTTGAAGTACTTAGTCTTACTATTAATTTGGAACTTACAGAACCAGCCTCCATTACTAACTCTTGTGAGCTCTGGTGGAGTTTTCTCTCTTTTGATCAAGTTCTTTAAAAGAACTCTCACAAGATCATTTGCACTTGAATTGCTGAAATTAAATAACATGATATAATCACGATTACAGATTTCTATAGGGACACAGGTTCTTGAGGGCACCTATCATGTCTTGTTAACAATAATTGTTAACCAGAGAGAAAACTCCACTGTCTAGAGCAATTATTGCTCTAGACAGCAAAGAGGAACTCATTTTATACTGAACTCATGATAAACTTTTCACCATACAGTAATACTACAGCATTCTTAACGAGTAAAATAAAGGATAAAATAAGGGATAAAATAAATAAATAAAGGAAACTTGAACAATTGGCCAGAGAGCACGAAATTCAATTTTTGGCCCTTTAATCCACTGAGACTCAGGTCCTCAAAGTGTTTCGCATGGGTGTATCACATGCCTTTCCAGAATTTGAAATTTAGCCAGACACAGTGAACGAATAAAATTCCATTCAGGTATGGAATATTAAACTGATTGATATTAATGAAAACTGATTACTGTTGCTTTGATTCTTACCATTTTCCTTTCATAATAACTTGATAGAAGATACTACTGTGAGATGCACCTGGGTCAAACATTTGAACTGACAACATAACTAACAGAGTGTTGATAGCTTCAACATGGATAGGATATGTGACTTCACTGGTGAAACAAAAAATAGACAATTTAAGATCAGACTTATTTATTCTAATTATAGCTGTACAGTACACATCTGATAAAAAGAATAAAGCTAAAATATGGTCTAATTAAAAAATTTGTAACTAATACAATGATGAATTATGTTCAATATTTTTGTGATGACCGAGTTCAATAATTGTTTTCATTGTTTGTGTTTGTGCCTAGACTGAGTATACATTTCAAGTGAAAATGAGCTGCCTTTTTACACAGAAGTGGACACAACTATGCATAAGTAAAATCATCCCTGTAGAAAATCACTGTCAGACAGTAATGAATTTATAAGTTTAAGTGCATTTTTTGTCGGCAGCTATTTTGAGATGACATGGTGGGCTGTCAGCCAATAAAAAGGAAGAACAAAATGCACAGAAAGAAAATTACATGTATATAATTGCACGTAAGAAATAATAAAAATGATTTCTATTTACAAGGCTAAGGAAATTAAAAATTAAAAAACACTGAACATTTTCAACTTCAGGGTAAGACTTAGCCAGACTTACCCTGAAGATGACCTAGAGTCAAAAACGTTCGTTGTTTTTACTTTTTTAACTTTTTAAACCTCGTAAATAGAAATTATTTTTAAAATCAAAGCAAATAAGATATAACAATTCTCTAAATTTTGCAAAATTCTATATATTAAGTAACTAACAAAATAATAATTAACTAGTTCTTAAAAATACCTGACAGGCACATTGGCAAGGACATCTACAAGACCACAAATAAGATCCTCAATAACACCACAATCTGGAGAAATAAGAAAAACAGAAAATCACAACTTATTAAAACTAGCAAACCACTTTTTAAAATTTCCAATTCTCCAAAACATTGTCAGTGGGGTCTGGACATCCAGAGCCAGTAGTCCCAAGCTCTTTAACTCCTTGACACCTTAAGTCAAATAACCAACTGGTCAGCTTCCCACTGGTTGGAATTCTGAACTTTCTGAGATATGTTTTGTAAAATAATTACACAAACAATTATTGTTTATAACAGTGTCCTCACTCAGCACAACAATGCTGAATGCATTCTATACTTAGGTAAATAGTAATTAATAAGCTATCTTTTAAATAACAGCTATTTTTTAATCATCTTTTACAGCTGTAGGTTAATTTCTCTACCTACATGTAAGAATGCTTATCTCTTAATATGATACTTTTTCCTTTGATTTGACATAAAATAGTTTGCAATGTGACACCTCAGTCACCTGTACAATGGAGTACTTGTCCAGTGAAGCCAGCCACTTCTTCATCACTCTGTGATTTCACCACAGAGCCACCCATGTGTCTTATAACTTCTTCATTGGGTAACAACTCAATAAAATACTTTGAAAAACTACGAACAAGAAGGATGGCATTGTATGTTTCCCAGGTGAAGTCGTCCCTGAAATAAACAGAATGAAATACAAAACATCAATCAAGGACAACTGATAGTGTTTATGTGTTTACTGGGTTCTCTGTAACAGTTACATTATGTGCAGTCAGTACACTCTGTGTCAAGATAAGGGCCCAGGGAGGGTGCAAAGAAAACAAGTTTAACGCTTGCCTTTTGGCAAGTTCCAACTTTAATTTGAGATACTTGCCAGAACATCACTCTCACAAGCCCCCCAAAATTTCATCTCTTGCAGTACCTAGTAAGTAACTGGAACTAACATCACTTGCTCATCAGGTTCAAGTGCTTGCTCAGTCACAAGGAGTTGTGATCTTGGACAACACACTTAAAAGGGAAAATGGCATTACTTCTTGTCACTTCATGCTTTTTAAAAGAGGATACAATACTTTAACTTAGAGAAGTTGTCCATGCCACTAGGCTTGTAAAGACTAATAATAAATTTTTTAACCCTCGGATCTATACTGCAGCTTTCATTTTAAGCAATTTCCCAGTTTCAGTGATTTTGCAAGAATTTAGCAAGAAGAATATACTTTCAAAAACTTAATACACAGTAAAAGAAAGAAATCTCATCAGTACAACCTAGTACAAGGCTTGATCATTGCATTTAACACTGGTGGCAATTTTCTTAATGTGCAAAAGTTTCTTAGTTAAAGAAAAAATCAGCTTTCGTCAAACAGTTCAGTTTATAATTGACAATGACAAATTTGTTTCAATGTATAATAGTTCCACAAAACAAAATAATTTATGTGCATGATGTGTAGTGTAAACAAGCCGGCAGAACCATGAAACTTTTCCACTGACTATACACTGTAGTTATTAATATGTAAAATTTGAATGCAAATTTATATTTGTCAATGTAAATCACTTGAGCTGACAGTAACCATTTCACTTAGTTGCCGGTACTCACTCATCACACTTTGTGTTGTCTTTCAGATCAGGAATCCTTTTTAGAAACACCTTAATGAGAGTGACAAAATTGTTTGTCTTCAAATTATTTCCAACTGAAAAAAGAAAAGTAAAAAAATGCACAACTAATTACTTTAAGCAATGTAAAGGTTTAAAATTTAAAATTCTGAACATCAAATTTAAAATAAGTCTAAGTTGTACATGTGTACATGTACATACCTAGCCTTTGACAGATTGGTTCTGTCGCCTCTTCCAACAACCTTGCATCAGCACTGGATAAAAGGATAAAAAGTGCTTAGTCCATGTATTAAATATAAAATTTATTCTTTTTGAGCAACTGTGTCACTAGCCTACTGTGTGCCAGATTCAACAAAATTGCATGTACAGTAAGATCTAAGGTATGAAAAAAAACATGTAATAAGGACGTTCATTGTTCATGTATTTTAGTGCGAGGAGACAAAAAGCTAGCTACAATGTTATAACTGCAGCACATGTAATGAGAGTCTTTCTTTGGCTACTGCTGAGTTCCAATTTCCAGTCTACCCCCCCCNCAAGACCCTGTAAAATTCTCACTTGAATTGATCATTTTCTAAACTAATCAAAATTGATCCTGCAAATGAACCCTGCAAGGAGCAGAGACTCAAGGTACAACATTGTCCAGCAATCAAAACACCTCTATCACATACACAGACAAGTGTAACAGGCAAGCAGAAATTGCAGTTGCCAGAGTGAGTCAGAGTATTAGTAAGTGTTACTTGTATAAAGCATAATATATTCCAATATAATTAGAGAATATTGGTACTGTAGAATGCAACACTGGCAAACAAGACAAGAGTTCTTTTACCCTTCTCGTAACTGGGGGAAAGGTAAAGACAGTATTTTAATTATCTTAGTTTATAGAAAATACCCTGGAAGAAAGCATACACTGAAAGCCATACTCCTTTTTTAACAATTAGAATAATAATTCACTCTGGATCTTCAGTAATGGTCGACAAGGGTAGAGCCAGATACAACTATTACGCATAGAAATCACAAGCTCATAATCTGTTGGTTTTAGCATATATCTACTTCATGTAGTAGCTCAAATTTATAGCTAAATCCTCTTCACAGACACTTTGAAAAGGCAAAGAAGTAGCTGCCATTTCATTAACAGCCATACACTATAGGATACATGTTCACTATCTACAACAGAATAGACGGTGAGTAGCGTGGCCAATAAGAGTACGGCATTCGTGAGGGAACACTGGTAGATTTTTCACTAAAACTTGATAGAACCAGAACTACATGTAGCATGAGCTGTTGATGCAATGATGGCATAGACTCCTTTAATATAATGGCTGCAAAATATTAAAATTGGCATGAGTAACCTCGTTTGATAATTCAAAAGAATTTTTGCCCTCCAACAAGGTTAGTGATGCTAATTTAAATGCATACAACAAATACTAAATTGGCAGCCATTTACAAAAGGATCTGTGAGCAAAGAGAATCTGCCTTTTGATAATACAAATAAATGGGTGATTTTCCATTCTCTGTTTCCCAGTGTTTGCTAAAAGAAATAGAAAGTATTTTCTCTATTTCTATTTAACAATTTGTATTTCTGTAACTCGAAAGAAACAGGGAAAATGTTTCCTGTATCTTCACTAAATACTGGTGTAAAAATAGACATTTTGCCTTGAGCATATTATAATGAAACTAGACAAAATATTATTAAGTGGTTTGAGAAATTTAGATTGCTAGATACTTAAACTACTAATGTTCCCCTTAACAGGGATTTGACAGACAAAAACATCTGCATGTAAACAGCTCACCGATATACTACTATGTTGTGACCTGCATTAAAAACTAAGCCTTCATGTAAGCTTAATTAACGAAGCTTCTGTTTACATCTATTCAGTTCATGGAAATTGATATCTTTAACCATGCAGTCGGCCATGCAGGTAGCTTGTGGGAATGCTTTCCGTCGATACAAGATCTATGAAATGAAACTGCTCAAATTTGATGTTTTATTAAGTGGCCATAGAATCAGTTCGAACTAAAAGCAAGTGATTAACACGCAAATATGGTTTAATTGCGTTTACCTGTTGTACGGAGCTTGAAATGAAAATGCCAAAATATCTTCCCAGAATTCTTCTTCTTCTCCTATCGCTGTGTCTCCAGTAAACTTCTGGAGCACGGGATTATGCTGCAGGTCGCTAATGGATGAGGGTTTAGCCCCCATTTCCAAACAAACTTCAGTTAGTATAGCGCACAGTATAAATCCGCATTTTCTCGTTTTGAGCTTCTTTTCGCGAGTGCCACGAATTCTTTAAAAGTAATCCGCTGACAGGGCACTCGTGTGAGCCTGCATAGTTGGTCTGTCTGACAGTGCGCTTCCAAGTTGTTAGTTGTTACTTATGATTTATTTGATGTTTTTGAATGAAGCAAATGCAGTGAACTGATGGGAAACAAGCAAGCTTCTCAACAGGAACCGGTCAAAAGATCGCCACATAGCGAAAGCCTTTCGAGATTATATGAGGTATAAAGAAAAGCCCATTCTCAGCTGTTATTCAGCTGCAGTACTACTTCTGTACGTAAACGTATTGATTGTTTTCCCTTTGCATAAGATAGGTTATTTTTCTAGTTTCTCTTTGAAACGAATGTTTACTCCCCTTCGAAAAATGTTGCTTTTATTTTCATTATTTAAAATAGACAGTCTGTTTGAGACTTCGTCTGTAATGGAAATCTGTGACTTGGGGACCAGATTATTGAGGTGGTGGTGGAGGGGAGGGGTGGGGGGTGGGGGTTCTCCCTTGATCCCTATAAAAAATTCACTTTTTCTTTGTTGTTCCCTATCAATAAATTCCATTCCTAATATTTTTTGTCATTGAAAGTTAATAGAGGGCTAGTATTCCTTGTTCCCTTAGATTAATCCCTTGTTCTCTTGAAATAAATGATTGCATTCCAATCCAATATACTTGTCTGAGTACAGCCACCTTCTCTCCTCAACAGAAATTAGAGGGAGGGCATCTGTGTTTTCCTGCTGATAATCCAATTCAAGGTCATGTGACTTTTTCCCAGAATGTGTGGAAAATGACTTGATTACTTCATCGATTGTGTATGGGTTCATGTAATATCCTCTTTATAGATGTTTGGTTTACTTAACTATACTTTATTTTTCCTTATTTAATTTTAGGAGCTTGCTGAAGTTGCAGATGGAATATCCACCATCAAAAAGGAAACATTTCAGGTAGAAGGCAATTCCATATATCTTTTGAAAATATAAAAGTTAGTTTAATTACATGTTTAATGTTAATCCAGAGAGTAAAATATATTATGTACATAATATTTATACAATTGTCCAGTGTCGGAATGCTTAAATTATACAACACATAATGAACTGAAGCATGTTGAAAAATTAAGTGGCCTCAAATTTGACTTGACATAACCCTTGAGTGCTAGACCATTGTGTATTCTGTGCACCATTGTGTATGCTGAAAATGGGTATCTAGTAAGAACCTTCATCTGCCATAAGCTTTTTCACTTAAACTATGGACATGTACACATTTTCTGAAAGGTCATAAAAGTGTCTCTTCTCTACAGTTAATTTCACTGAAGTTGACGTAATTTCAATTGATATCCATATGATATGTCACAGCAATGGGAAATTAAGAGTCTGTCAAAAAACCTCCTACAAATCTCAGGTGCTGATGAATGTTGTTTCTGGTGTGCAGGCAGTTTGACTAAGTCTCTCGAAATTTTGATGTACTCAGTACATCATACAGATTCCTGATCATGGGGGACAAAAATTTTGACACACTGAATGCATCATATGAAGGCACCCAAGGGGTTAAAATACATGCACAAGTACCATACCTAATTTTTGCTTTTTTGGGACATTGACTGTTATGTAGTCTGAAACTTTAAATGCACTACATACTTTTTCAAGTTTTTTATATAATTGATGAATAATTTATTAATAGGGTGTCATTAAACGTTTTCAGCGGGTCAAGGCAACTGGTTTTCATAGGCCAAAAGCAGAACATTTTGAACTAAACTTCTTTATAAGAAAACCTTTCCTCTAGATGGTCAAACCAGGCAGGCAAATTCATCCTCACAGCCAATCAATTTTCCTGATGCCTTGCCCTCATTGAAACCCTTGATTAATTTTGGATTGAGCTTGTCAAGTCCATTTAATGTTTTGACAGGCACTTCTTGACAGTCTGGTAGTGTTACTCCTAACAGGTAGTAAATGAAAAGTTCTGATGGTACTCATTGTTAATCCACCAGACGTTTGTGTTTCAGAACTACTTTAGATCTCAAGTAGATGACTTTGATGAATTACTGTTCTCACATATTGCATCAAGTGGAGGAGGTAACAGGGATGTCGCGGGACTGACACTGGATGAGTTTACGGATGGATTTGAAACATTCCTGGACAAAGGTACAATCAATATATTAAATATATAAGTTACAAAGTAAACGTCTATCCGGTGCAAACAGTGTCCTACATGTACATTACAGGTAATTCTACTATTAACTTTATTTGAAATTGTAAGCTTTGACACGTCAAGTTATCCAGCATAANACAGCACTTGTGTAGACTGTAACAGTTTCTGTGGCTGGGCAAAACAAAACTGTCCAAGAGTGTTTGATGGAATTCACAGCTGGGTGAGAAAGATATTGTTTCGTAGAGGACATCCATCAGACACCACCTCTTCTCACAGACAGGTACATAGTTGGTAATGACTCATGTGTGATGCAAGGCTCCGGAATTCTGCAGATATAAAATATAAAAATTCTGCAGCATTCGTTGCAATTAACTGCCTTATTTGGTCATCAGTTAACTGCTAATAAGTTATAATGATAGTGCAGATCATTTAATACTACAGAGACACAAGGTCTCTGTCATCCCCAAATAGTCTTATGTATGGCAGATTGAACACAGCAAATATATTACCGTTAACTATAATCTGGTACTGTGAACAGAAATTTTGAAAACCTAAATAAAATGTAATTCAAACAGACATTTAAAATGTGTGGAGAACCCTGTAAATATTCAAAGTGGTTGCTCCCAAGGATTTGTTTTTGTTTTCAAAAAAACATTATTTGGTACTTACATGCAATACTGGTCATGGATCCTGATGTGTAATTGATTTGACAATGTGTGCATAATTTGAAGCCATTACCAGATGTAAACTGTTATATAGTGTCTGTATTTGTGGTTGTAATCTAAGTTAGCATGCACATCACCACATAAAACATACATATTTGCCTTTAAAATTATTTACCTTACCGGCATTCTGATAATCACTTATGATAAGTCGTGTTTTCCCATGTTTGTTTTAGGGATTTCCTGTTATACCCTGTCTGTCAAATCCATTAGACAGTCAGGCCTTATTGAACACAGAAACCCTCTGGATTATCTCTACAATTCTTCCGCCCTGTTTCCTTGTTAGTGTAGTGCAAACATCCAATTTAGGAGGTCCTCAGGCAACAACTACCGATGAAAGAAAAGCAAATCCACTGGAAAGAGTGAGTTAATGTTGTTTTGCAATGCTTCCATACAGTTAGTATGGTAACGTTTGTCTGTGGTCTATGATTGTTATTACCATAATACGAATGTCATAGGTATGACTGTGATACACTTAACTCTTTGATGCACACATAACTCATGTGGGACATGTCGTAGAACTTACAAATGGACCTCAACTAGAATGCCTTGTGAATTCACTAACAGCAGTTTTCAATTGAGTGTCAAAAGTAATCAGGCAGCTACTTTGGTTTTGGTTTTACTACAGTTTGAGATTGGCGGGGTAGTCTAATTCTTAAGTAATTGGTTTTATGTCACTATAGCTTACACATGTGTAGAGCAATGAACCATCCCTTTAATCTTTAATTCGCTGTTGGTTAACTTTATTTGTTGATTTGTTGTAGTGTAAAGAATGGATGATGCTTTATGACAGTTTGCAGCATGGCCAGAGTTTAAACAGGTGTCATCGTTTATCGTGTATTCCATGCTGACTGTATCTATTATCTTGAGTGTCATCTTCTCCTTTCCTAGGTTCTCGCTCATTGGAACAATCGAAAAAGCAGGCCCGGCGGCACTCCATCTTCTTTTTCTGTCCCAGACCCCACTCGTTTTTCTTTCACACACCCACCCTTTCGATCGTCCCACTGAGCGATAACCTTCAGACATTTATGTTACAGTTACATGTATGTTTGCTGCCAGAAAGCTGAGTACAGTAGCACTAAGGGAATTTTCCACTAGCTGAACTCACTTTAAAATGGGTGACAAAATTACTGTGAATGGCGCAATGTAGTACAGTACATGTATGATCATGGTGTTTTTATCTCGTGAAACTAAGAGAAAAGCTATTTGATGGTGCTTTTGCATAGCAATGTAAAGCTAATTCAAGGACCAAGTAAAAGGATAATTTGTTACCAAATGCATTGATTGTGTTTGTAGGTTCAAACATCACTGCATGGCGTACCGTGGACCTACTGTTACTCTGTTAAGACTTGGAAAGGAAGGATTGATCATTGTTGCTATTGATGTAGAGTGGAGGTTAGTACAAATCATATGTAGAACCTAAATGAAATCCACCTGTATTTTTTGGTTATTCTGTGTATTTCTTCCCAGTCACATTTAGTTTCTTTCCAGCCTTTAACTCGGTTAACCCATCTTTCCAAGAAAGCTTGAAAATAAGATTTCTCTCGTTAAGTGTAGCGCAAAATATTCAAAATTTAATAGTAAATCAAATCGTGATCAATATTATTGACACCGCATAGTTTGAGCTTGAGAATCAGGCAGATCTGTTGTCTGATGACAATGAACAAAAGAGCGACTAATCAAGCCAAACTCTAACTTGTTTGCTACTTGCTTTGTTTTTCAGAGAGTCCACGTCTAGCTGGGGAAACTCTGACTGCAGGGTCATCCAAGTACGACCCAAGTTTCAGGTGTTGAGAGGTGAGGACGAAACCATGTGAGCCGGGTTGTTCGACAGGTTGTGAACGCTAACCCAGGATTAAAAGTTAACCGAAGTATAAATTTTCCTGGTATAAAAATGTTTTTATTGCTTTAGGTTTTGTCTAATTTGAGATTATTCAAACTCAAAACAAAAGGCCATACAATATATACAGAAAACCTTACCGCAAAGTTGCAAAACTCAAATCAACTGAAGATTCTCGCTTATCCTGGGTTAGTTTAATCGGGCTTTGAACAACCCATCCTGGTTTTCATATGATCGCTATGATCGCTTCGAGCACGTCCAGAAAACATTGAGCGATCCTTTCGACTATCAGTATCCAAATGATCACAGCGATCACTACAAAATAAGAAAATGCCCAAGAGAGCCTGGATCAAACAACGAGGCCGCACCACATTGTGGTGTATTTATCATTGCAAGGATGGTTACAATCGGTGGAGAGTGGTTTCCATTCAGGTAACAAGCCTTTGAGCCATTTAAAACAGGTTTCGTTATTTGTGAACAGAAATATTTTTTTTACTTTAAAGATCGAGTCTAAAGGAATCTCTAAGGCTAAAGCAGACAACAGAAGACTACGTATGCCATTTTTGTACTTAAGAAAGAGTCTAGCCTGAGTAAAACAAATTGTTCTATCATAAACCCTTTGCCTTATTTACGTTGTTTTGTTCATTAGCTGGTCCAAACTTGATCTTTTTCAATGAGAGAGCCCGAGGTTTACCATCCGGTATCGTGTTGGGACAGACATCAAGGCCTTGTGTTACCCTGGACACTGGTTTATCATCCGCAAAACTTCATTATCAAACCGATTTAACACCCCAGACAATCAGCAAAATAGAGGTGAGAAAAAGGACTCATCGGTTCGAAAGCGAAAAACATGTTAAATAGTTTCAGTGGGAGAGGCCAAATATGGCGCAGGGGGGTGGAAGCGAACGTGCAATAGACTAACGGCATTGTGCACCCAACTAGGAAAAAAAACTGGGGAAGGGAGGGAGGGGAGGGATTGTTATACCGAATTGAAGTCATGGTGCAGAAACCAAAATTGAAAATCAAGTGGTGTAGAAATTTTCTTTCCTTTCAGAAGCGAGAAGGTAGTTGAACCCCTCTATTCCGAACTCTCATGATGAGGGGAAACGGAAAACAGTTCGAAATAGCGGATGTTCGAAAAATGTAGGGGAAATGGTTTGAGTTCGAAATAATGAGGAATTCGAAATAAGCGAGTTCAAATTAACGAGGTCCAACGGTACATCCATGGCGACCTTGAGAGGTTCCATTACTCCTTCGTCAAACCCTTTTTTCTGTATTTCTGGTCAGGTTTGGGGATGTGGAGGACAAGAATTAAAAGACAAACAACAGAAACAACAGCAGTGGGAGCGAAAACAAGCAGAAAAACTTCAAAAGGTTATTTCTTTNCATCCGCAAAACTTCATTATCAAACCGATTTAACACCCCAGACAATCAGCAAAATAGAGGTGAGAAAAAGCACTCATCCGTTCGAAAGCGAAAAACATGTTAAATAGTTTCAGTGGGAGAGGCCAAATACGGCGCAGGGGGGTGGGAGCGAACGTGCAATAGACTAACGGCACTGTGCACCCAATTAGGAAAAAAAACTGGGGAAGGGAGGGAGGGGAGGGAGTGTTATACCGAATCGAAGTCATGGTGCAGAAACCAAAATTGAAAACCAAGTGGTGTAGAAATTTTCTTTCCTTTCATTTTGGTCGGAAACAAGAAGGTAGTTGAACCCCTCTATTTCGAACTCTCATGATCAGGGGAAACGGAAAACAGTTCGAAATAGCGGATGTTCGAAAAATCCAGGGGAAGTGGTTCGAGTTCGAAATAATGAGGAATTCGAAATAAGTGAGTTAAAATTAACGGGGTCCAACGGTACATCAGTGGCAACCTTGAGAGTTTCCATTACTCCTTCGTCAAACCTTTTTTTCTGTATTTCTGGTCAGGTTTGGGGATGTGGAGGACAAGAATTAAAAGACAAACAACAGAAACAACAGCAGTGGGAGCGAAAACAAGCAGAAAAACTTCAAAAGGTTATTTCTTTACTTTTAGGTTGNTAATTTGAAAACCCCTCAAAACTCTGGCAATTAAAGCACTCGTAGACAAAAAAATGAAAACATTGATCACTAATCCCTGATTAACGCAAGAGAGGATCAGAAAGTAAGCAAGTTTTAAAACCTTAACCTTAGGTTATAACTATCAAGGTCTTTTTAGATCCCTTCCGATTTTCGGAAATCCCAGGATTGTTGTAAAGAAGGCTATCTAACCTGCGAGCAGGCTCACGTTGGAGCACAAGCGCGCGAGACGAAGCCGCGAGCGTGAAATCGAGCGGCGAAGCCGCGAGACGAGAAAGTGAACCTTCGCCAGACTCATTCCCGCCGGATCACTTTGCTCTTCACTACTCGCGCGCGCGATTCAAAGGTGAGCCTGCTCGCAGGCTAAAGGCTATCCTATAATGAGGATTTTGCTCACGTGGACAACCATAGCGGTTTTATACCCTCCACGAAAACATCCACGCAACACGCGTGGAAACAGTCGCGAAAGAACTGGGTACCATGTCTAAAAATAGCTTGAGTGGGTGGCCTTAAAAATACGGCTCATATGGGAGATTAGCTCTTCCACCTTTATCCTCCCTTGATTACCGTTAATCGGCTTATAACCAATCCAGCCCTGTACTGTTTAGTTATCTCATAAAGTACGTGACTTTTTGTCCAGGTTAAACGGCCAGGAAGATGGGACGAGAACCCAGACAAAGCAATCTTGGAAATGGCTGGAGTCACAACTAATCACAGTCAGCGATAACAAAATAAGGTCAAAGAATTGTAATAATATATCATGTTGCCAGTAGCTCGCCAACTGTCGCTAAACCAGAATTTACTTCCCATAGAAAAGAAAAGAACAATTGACTTGTCAACTGATCGTCCTTCCGCGGAAGGTGAAATTGAGATTACGTGTTTGTGAGCTGTCTTTCTTCAAAGTATCGCTTACCATTCTGTGACAACTAAATTTGCAATTGATCTCTAGGGAGTTTTTGAGAATTTCTTTCAATTTATAGCGTGAAACGCTCTGGAACTCTTGTGTTCCGGTAAAAAGCAGTTTGTTTTCCTGTGAGAGGCCAAATAATGTTTATTTTATTACCATCTTACTATTTTTCAACAATTATTCGCCAAAGGCGAGGTGAACATTGGTGAATATTCACCAATGTTCACCGAGCCTGAGGCGAATAATTGTTTTAGTATAACACAGAATAACGACTAAAACAGACTGTTCGTTTGCATACACGCATGCAGCCGTAGTTTTAATAATAAGCTCACACGTAAGCTTACATCGATTGTGAATCCATTTACAAATCAAGTTCGGCACTAAAACAAACAAGCGAAACACTACGAAAAATAAATTCATCCCGTACCTTTGTTTTATCGTTGTTGACCTCACTCAGAGCTGTCATCATCGCCTAAAAATGAGTAGCTTTAGTTTGAAGAAAAATAAATTTCGGTCAATCGATCTGACCTGCTGGCGATCAACGTAACCACTGCGTTTGCGATTCTTAAATTCCTTGAATACGAGTTATTGAAAGGATTTTTGGTCCAAGGGCGACAGCAGTCATTTTGAAAATTCTCCATCCTTCCAAATATCCTTGTCTCAAGTTCTGCTACCACATGTGGACTTGGAGTGATGTTGGAGTGATGTCTTTCGAATAAATGAAAATTTGATTCAGCAACTGTCCGCCATGTTTACTTGTCGAGATGGCAAAGGTGGCGAGCTTAGTAGCCAGGCCTCGAAAATGGTATATTCACCGCACCAGCATCATATAAGGAATCGCTCGACAAATCAGATTGCTGGAAACTCTTTGTTCAGCTCTGAAATTATACTAAATTATAATATAAATATTTGAAATGAAAATTATAAGCTTGTACAAAACAAAAAAAAGTCTCATTTATTTAACCTTTAAAATATACAGGTAATTTAGCTAATGTTCACTCTAAGGTTAAGCATATTTATAATACAGTGAAGTAGCAATTAACGATTGAAGTTCATAATAAAGCTTGTGGTTTTCCGTGTATCAGTGGTAGCCATGGGAACACACCTCATGAGGTTATTTGCTGCGGCTACATAAACATTGAAGTTCTCAGAATTTACTGAAACAGATAGGAATATTTTTGGAGAATATCTGTAAAATAGAATTTGCTTCCCAGAGGAAACTAATTTATTCGTTTGTACCTCCAAATGGTCGCTGTCAATAACCTCAGAATATAAATTCATAGTGTTTTCTAGTTAATTATTTGTATAAATATTCAGGATCCACCTAAGTACGGATCAAAATACGCGACAAATATATTGTAAGGTATGTAAATTACATTCGGTAAATAAATAATATATATTTTTGCATAACGCGTTATGTGTCCACACGTTATTTTATAACTTCTGCTTTAACTATCTTAAAATATTTCTTTCTTTCTTTCTTTCTTTCTTTCTTTCTTTCTTTCTTTTTTTTTTTTGTCTCTTTCTTTCCTTATTTCTTGACAATAACCTTACCTAATAATGTTAAATCTTTATTGATGCCGCACTTACACTAATAACAGAAGAAGTATATTCATTATAAGTTCATTGAAGAAAATAACAAAGAAAGTAATTTGTTAATTGGAGCGTAGAGGCTAAACGAACCGCAATGTTCCAAAAACGTCCTTCATAAGTTCTTTCTCTCTTTTTTCTTCCTTTCTTTGTTTCATCCTTTAATGAAATTAACCGTCACTGACACTAAGTTCTGTGGCACACGAAATGAACTTTTACGACCGCCTTACAATGACCCGATATGTTTATGTACACAGCTGAAAGGTCAAGTATGGACTTCACTTGGTTACTTTCTTTGCTTTACTCAGTTGTGGTCTGTTTCTCTTCGTTATTCGTCGTATATGTTGCCGGAAGTTCTGACTCTGAAACGAGTAGATGAAAGGGTTCATGCTGGAGTGTGTAACAGCCAATAACGCCAAAGCTGATTGCAACACTTCGTGGCGCCCGAGCCTTGAATCAAATGACAAAAGCAACTCCACCACAAACCACGGAAGCCAACAAATATTGAAAAGCAATATAACGCTGCCCAGGATCTTTGTTAAGCGATGTCGGGATTTTAGAAGCACTTGGCTTGTTGCAAGGCTTATACAAGGGTTACCAATCCAGAGATGAACAAAAATTTTTCCGAAGAAATACATTGTGATGCACATCGGGATGAAATACATGGCTGCGAAAAGGATTATTCTGTAAGATACCGGTAACTCGTCTTGAGGCAAAGTCTCCCAGCAGATCAACTTATCGTCCTTGAAATCGTAGATTTCAATAAAATACATGCTTGATCCGAAGAATACGAGAGATAAGATCCATATGGCTGGAAGGATGAATTTCAGTTTGCCTTTCGTTAATGTTCCTCGCCGTATCACTGGCTTTACAATGGACAGGTAACGATCGAATGCTAAAACTGCCATAGTGTAGATGGAAATGGACGCGCTGAAAAACGTGATTCCATTCAATCTTCCACAGAAAACAGTGTTATTGTTTTTCCCTGAGACGAGAAACCAAACTTCTAAAACTATGTGTATCACACCAGAAACACCAACTATTAGATCACCTACTGCCATGTTTACTATCAAAATGGACGTAAAGTTTTGGAGGTACTTAGTTTTGAGCACGACCGCGCACACAAACAAATTCCCCACAATGTTGGCAAAGAAAATGATGGCATAGCCAACACAAAGAATTATTTCTTCAGCCAGAGACATCGCCATGATAAAAAGTTCAGTTTTACGACCAAAAATTGTGAGATACTCGGCCGCAACCTTCTTTAAATACTAGGGGTATTGGCACTGTACTCAGTGCGTGGCCTTCGACATAAAGCGGACCGCGACGTTGAACGTCACTCTGACGTGCTAACTTAAGATTTTGTTCACTCTGAAAGTGAATTTAACGGATAAAGCATATATTAGACCATAATCCGCCAAGTCTCACACAATATAGCCACCCGGTTTAGTTATTTTTGACCTTGGTACGAGAAGTTATGGCCACTTATGACGTTACGTTATTTGCCTAGTATTTTGTTTTCGATCCAGCTTTTATTTTGAGGTGACTATAAGTACGTATTTACTTTCATTGTTTCGGCAAATTGCCCTCTTTTTAAGTTACGGTCACGGCTGAATTATCAGTGTTGTTTTTCAACTGAATGCAATTAAACTTTGCCCAGCTGCTGATATCGATCCTTAATTTTGTGAATAAGACTCTCACGCTTAAGACTTGTAAGCCATTCAATGTTGATTTGCTGTGAAGCTGAAAACAGAATACGTGACCAATGGTTTATATTATTTTGAAAGCCTGTGAGGTTCTTCTTAGTTTGAAAATACTCAGTTTTCTGACAGCCTTTACGCCAGAGTGATCCGTGTCTAACATCTAGTCAAAGTCGATATATTTAAAAGTATCCGAAACTCATTCGCTGTGCAGGGATGGCACAGTGGTGAGAGCGCTCGCCTCCCACCAGTGTGGCCCAGGTTCGATTCCGGCCAGGTGCCATATGTGGGTTGAGTTCGTTGTTGGTTCTCACCTTGCTCTGAGTGTTTTTCTCTGGGTTCTCCGGTTTTCCTCCCTCCACAAAAACCAACATCTCGATCACTGAAAATTCCAATTCGACCAGGATAGAGGCCCCGCGTAAGAACCAACTGAGGCTCATGTGGCTTCCTCTGGGAATATTGTAGTTTACAAATTTTTATTTACTTTATTTCGGGCCGAGCCAACATATTCTTAATTTTTGAAAACCAGAAATTTTCTAAACCAGAAAATGTTTATTTTTTTTTTTCAATTTACGAGCCGAGTGATATTTCTTCAAAAAATTCCGAACCACTTCATGCTAGGTAACTATTGATTCTTGCAAAAAAATAAAGTTGCCAGCTAAATTTCAGCCTTGCGGGGCCGGCATATTCTTAGCCTGTTCGCAAAATGTTTGCCTTTTTCAACCTCAAAGTCTTCCAAAAGGTTCGTATACTTGAACGACTTCAGTTAAGTGTATTGAACTGTCTCGCACTACCTGACATCGTCAGTGCAGCATGTAAGAGGAACTAAATCACTTGTACATTTAATCGTGCCTTGCATATTCAATTAAGCTAAGACCTGTTAAAGATCTTCTAAAAAATAAAACAGGCAGGTTTCCATGACAAAAGAACAGCAAATACACCATCAATTTCACTGGTCAAATGACGTATTAGAGTACAATAATCGACCATCTTCAGTTGTGAATAAATTACGTACTTTTAAAGTTACATTTGAATTTATATATAAAAACCAAGAAAACGATAGAGACCAGGATAGAGGCCCCGCATGGAAAGTAACTGAGGCTGACGAGGCTTCCTCTGGATATAAAGAGTTGAAAACACTGCCGCACGCCTTATCACTGGAACCAAGCAATACGANAATTAACAATTATTCGCCGAAGGCAAAGTGAACATTGATGAATATTTACCGAGACGAAGTGGAGGTGAATATTCATGCACCAATGGTCCCTGAGCCTGCGGCGAATAATTGTTTTAGTATAATTTTCAGAGGAGAATATCAAGGACTACAGAAACATAAAAACACAGACGCAATTCTTCGTTTGCATATACTACTGCTACTACTACTACTACGTACTACTACGACAACGACGACGACGACGGCGGCGGCGGCGGCGGCGGCGGCGGCGGCGGCGGCGGCGACGAGATGGCAAAGACGGCAAGCTTAAAAACCAGGTTTCGAAAATGTTATATTCACCCCTTAGCGCGGTGAACATAATGTCATATAAGGAATCGCGCAACCAATCAGATTGCTGGAAACTCTTTGTTCAGCTCTGAAATTATACTAATACTTAATAAATCGTTTAAATTCGGCACTATCCCTCAACTGCAATATTGACTTTTAGTTCGGTGAAAATTGTAACTGATCAAAATAACAGAAAAAAAGAGAAGTGTCCGGCATTAGGATGCACCTGCTGCCTTTAGCACGTGACCACTCCTTTATGAAACAAGGCTTGGAAAATCATCAACACGAGCAGGGAAATGATAGAAAATTGGACATCTGAATTTAAAGAAAAACAAAATACTGTCAGATCAACATGAAAGCAGCATCAGTAATTACAACAACAACAAAACCTATCAGGTAATGTCTAAAATACTAAATTGAGACTTCTGACAGGATTGGACGGAAAAAATTATTATGAGTGTCTTGAACGGGTAAATGGAAACAGCAATTTTCCTATTATTACAATGGGAAAATGTGATTAGGGTCACTGGGAGCAAGAAAAAACAATGGGAACGGAACGTGACACAACTTAATATTTCTTGCGTAATAACACTCCTCTCGGTCATACAACAGCTTTTGGCTTTTGGCCAATCCAGCTTACAATTTTTCTGCAATGCTGCAACGATTTATGGCCATGCAAATAAACAACACGCCAGGAAATTATCGAAACAAATTGGGCCAACTTTCATTTTGGCCGCGGGAGATCGGAGGCTTACCCCTGCGAAATAAATTCCCAGTAGTCTGGGAATTCCTAGGAATTCCTAGGAATTCCTAGGAATTCCAAGTTATTCCAAGACATGCAAATTGT